TGAGTTTTGCAGAGGATATATGGGCAGTGGCAAGTAAGAAGGAGATTGGTGACACTCATCGCATTAAAGAGGAAATCCTAATTCGTTGGATTTTTCCTGATATGGGATGGGTCAAAGTAAACACCGATGGAGCGGCCAAAGGAAATCCGAGTATGGCAGCTTGTGGGGGAGTGATTAGAGACTGTACGGGTAAGTGGTTACATGGATTTTCTTACCGAATTGGTATTTGCAATGCTATTGTGGCGGAGCTTTGGGAATATTAAAGGGGGTTGAATTGGCTTGGGAGTCAGGTTGGCGGAAGATCATCATTGAAAGTGATTCGGTAGTAGCAATCACGTGGCTCACCCATATAGGTGAGCCAACCTGTGAGTCTCACATTATGACTCGTATACGGACATGGATGAATAAAGATTGGATAGTGAAGATAAACCACACTTATAGAGAAGGAAATTGTTGCGCTGATTGGCTCGCTAACTTGCCATTTGAAAATCTAAAGCAAGAGGATTACTATTCATTTCCTGATCCTCCTTTAGGACCTTTAGGAATTCATTTATTGTATTTAGCTGATTTAAGTGGTTTGAGTAGGAGTCGCGTTGTATTTCTTCTTCTTAACCTGGTTGGGGTCTTACCCCATCCAGGATACCAAAAAAAAAAAAAATTGAAACACCCCCCCCCCCCCCCCAACTCGACTCAGACCAAGTCTTTCACTACAGCATGTAATTAATGATGATAGTTTACACAATTTTTATTTAAAGTGATGATATATTATAATTTTTATGTTAAATAGCTATATAAATTCTTGTATCACACAATTATTTTACGTTTAAAGTGATGATATATTATTATTAATGATTTTAGTTTACACAATTTTTATTTTTATCTTATTTTTTTTAAAAAAAAGTCTTTTAGTTTTTCTGTAGTTTAAGATGTTGCTCTGTTCTTATTGAAACAAAAAAGGTGCCATAATTTATAAGGTCCAGTGAAAGGGAATAATAATATGACCTAATAAAGAGTGAATTAATTGTTTTTTTCCTAGTCTAAAAAGAAATGAGTGTTTTAAGAAAGACTCAACAATCAAATCATATTTCATTAATGAGACGAACCGTTGTTTATTATCTTCTTGTGTAAGATAGACAAACCAAGACTACCAAAAAAGATAGACCGACCGAATCATATAATTACATAAAACAACCTTATTTGATAACATAATTTCATGCTATATATAAAATTTGTAGATTAAGATTTTTCCTTCCTGTTACATTTCTCTGGTAATTTAATTTTGTATGAAATAAATTTGTATAATTATAGTCATATATACATAAATAGAAAAATACATACTCTGCCCATTATTTTCATTTGCTTTCTTATCTGTTTCTCAACCTTTAATTTTAGCGTTCTTTTTTGTTCTCTTAAAGTGAGGTGCTAGGCAATGTCTGCATATAAAATTCTGGTCGAAATTTGAACAGTTGGTAAAACAAAAAAGTTTTATTCCTTTTATGTTACATAAGAGAAATTTTATTTCTTACTTTCACTTTGATTTTTGTGCCCTATTTTTTTTTTTCTCTTTTTGTTTTTAAAATAAAGTGGATCCCACCATTTGTTGTAAGAGTTGGAGAGAAAATTTATCTTATATGACATAAAAAAATAAAACCCAAAAAAAAATACATCAATTGCTCCCTAGTTTGACATCTGAAACCAACATCATTCATATATATTTTTTAGATAACGTGTCACAATCTTTGGATGCATGACATCAGACTCCCAAAAAATTTTATTACAAAAAATGACATATATATTCACTAATTCACGTACTGAAAATATTCTTACTTCGTAGTAATTTTTTATTTTTACATTTTTAGTCGTTATCTTTTAAGTTATCTTTTTTTTTTTTTTTTTGGTGAATTAAGTTATCCTTTTTATTATCATGTAACACGACGAAATTTTTCAAAAAAAAAAATGTGGAATTGAAATGCATGTTACACTTTAAAGAGAAATCAAGCTTACAATTAATTACAACTAAATAAGTGTCTTTATGAAACTTACTAAATGAATATAAAAACGAGACTAATGTTTGCTTGGACAAAATAAGTTTACAAAAAATAATAATAATAATAAGGGATAGGATATTGTGACACCCAAGTTATGTTACACCCATGTGACACTCAGTCAATCTCACCGTTAGATCGCTTATGTTATATTTATTTCCATCTTTGTATGGTCATGATTTCCCAAATTTAATATTTTATATTTATTTCTACCTTTGTATGGTTATGATTTCCCATATTTAATGCTTTCACTTTAAATTTAGGAAATCATGACCATATAAAGATGGAAATAAATATAACCGTTGGATCAACATAAGCGATCTAACGGTGAGATTAACTGGGTGTCACATGGGTGTAACATAACTTGGGTGTCACAATATCCTAGTTATCCCTAATAATAATAATAATAATAATAAGTGTCTTTAAGCTATTAGATTTGATTTAGTGGTGAAAAATTTAAAAAATTTATATTAGATTATGTGTTCAATTCTCATCATTATATTAAAAAAAAAAAACATTTTCATTTACACTGAAATATGTACATCACAGAATACGTAACATAATTTATAAAAATTTATAAACAAAAATTTTGTAAATATAAGTTAAAGTCATTTTATTATACGTTTCTTTCTCTTTTCTATTCACTTTTCAGGTCTCTTTTTCCTGAATGGTCAGATATTTAGGCTAACATTATAGAATCTAACCTTTTTTTTTGTTTTGGATAACAGAATCTAACTTTTTAACAACTAATAACTCTCACATTTTATTAAAATTGGTATAGTGGTGAAGGATTTTGAATAATGCATCTTGTGGAATAATGCGTGTCCATTGCATTAAGAACTGTCATTGTGGAACGCCCCTCCCTCACCAATATCGAACATTTTGCCAAGAATATCAAGGGTTCTTGAATTGGACGATTTTCAATAGCCAACTGAGAAAAAAGTGACTGATCAGTGTTAATGGAGATCCCCACACACTGTGTTTAATAGAAGAGAATTTTTTTTTTTTGGAAATCTTAATTTTTAAAATTATGATTTTTACGTTCAGTTCACGATAATATTTGAAAATTAAAAATTTTAAAAAATTTATTTTTTCGAGAATTCAAAAATAACAGGCGGCTTCAGAAGTGATACATGACAGGTGGGGTGGTATTATTCATATTTTGCCGCTTTATTTCAGATAAAAATTATCAAAGGCTGGCTCAGATTTTAATGCATGGAACGCACCTTCTTCATGAACTTGCGACAAAATATTTGCACAAATATTTTTAAAACTTAATTTATTCCCATCTTGAGTTTTGAAACCATTTGTTCAATATTTAGAGATATTATAATTTCTTCCACTTAAATAAAAATTCTTCTACTATTCTTGGTAATTTTTTCCACTTATCAAATTTTTTTCCGAACTCTATTTTAGTTGCATAATATTGTTTATAATGCTGACTACCCATGGGTGAATATGCTTATATTTTCCAAAAAAAGAAAAAAAAGAGTGAATATACTATTTTGAATATCAAAACAGTATATCATATATATTCATGCCGTCATGCGTGAAGCTCATATGAAGCTTAATTGATAATATATGTTCTATTTTAGGTTATTAGTAAATATACTTGGTGTACTAAGCATGGTGATTTTGAATACAGTGGTGGCATCAAGATTTGAACATGCAAAATTGCAAACTATTCAAATTCTTCACCACTAATTCACTTACAGTGACGTAAAAAAGTATGATGATTTTGTTGGAAAGACTCTATTAATATGACTTGCTAAAAAAGTTCTACATGAAAAATCAAGGTTTACCTCTTATCAAAACATTCCCTTAATTAGGAATGAATAATCTCTTCGCATGTGATAGTATAGTGGTTAGTTTGTCCACTAGGAGGGACCTCTTGTATTTTTTTTTTTACGGTATCCAAACTTAAAAAAAAATGATATGTTTATTGAATTAATTTTTTATTAAATTAAAGTTGCTTTACATTTGCAATCAACTATATATTTTATTTTATTTGGTACCGAAGGTATAACTTTTTAGGTCTCTTTAATAGTAAGTTTGGAGGAAAAAATCTTGACAAAAGTATGTATCACACGACAGTGAATTTTTAAGGTGAACCTTTTCTTAATTAAAAAGATAATAGCAATAACTACTAATTTGTTATGAAAAAAAAACATAATATTATCTTAATATATAACACCTAAGCTGACAAGAAAATATAATAAATGTGTAGAATTAATAGACTCTATATATAATTTGTTTATAAAATAAAACTATAACCTTAACATCCATGAATATTGAAGTAAATTTGATAACACACTAGATAATAGATTCATTTTTAAATTTTTTAAAAAGGAAAATCTATAATATTATTATATCTGGATACAGATGTATGAGAAATATTGCTTCTAATTAATACTAATGAATCTGTGCATATCTTATGTATAAATGTATTTCCCTCCAAGCAAAATAAATTACCCCATTTGGCCAAACAAAGAGGCAACTGCACAGTTTTGGTCACATTCAGGATTCAACGTATCTATCAACAGAGTATCATGATTTATGTGCATCTTAATACAATTTTATTATTGAGAGATAATCATCTCATATAACAGAGATAAAATAATATAGTTCACAATCTTTTTATTGAAAAAGTAGTGAATTTCATTATCTTGTCTATGTTACATGAGATAACTATCTCATCTCATGCAACATGAGATAAATCGATCCCTTTATTCAATTAATAATATTTAATATTCTTGGCATTTAATAATCTATTTTTTAATTATAACCTTATTAAGAAATTTACTTATTATATATGTATATATATTCCTTTTATATTATTAAATTTTTATTTAAATATCATTAAATATAACTTCATTTGTCTATACTGAGGCCCACTCTATATACCTTTGATTCATCTTCTTTTAAACCCATTCCAAATCCCAACACTTCCTTCGAACTGTCTCTATCTCCGGTGGAGCGCCTCCACCGGTAAAACTCTCCGGTGATCGTTCCGATTAGGTGCTCCGAACCTTTTCCGTTCGCTGAAGCTATCGCAGATTCAATCGTTCGATCCGTTTTCCCATTCTAGGTTGGTTTTTTATTTTTATTTGCTATTCTTGAATTTGTTTATAGCTATATTTGGTTTGATCAAGTACGAAGATTTTGATTTTATGGTGCCGTAGAGTTGATCTTCATCTGGTTTTTGTGGTGTAGTTGATCGAGTTTGAAGATTTTGATTTTATGGTGCAGCTGTGTATTGGGCCAAAGAGGGTAAAGTGGCCACCGTGAATCGTTGAGTCAGATTATACTTGTTTTGAAACATCAACGAGCGAAATGGTAGGTTCAAGATTCTTACAAGCTATTTGCATGCAAATGCCTGGTCTGATATATGATTTTGTGGTTGCCTGGTTTTGCATGATGGACTATATATAGTATTGTTCCTCTGTCTTTTTTTAAAAAAATAAAATAAAATAAAATTATAATTATATTTATCGTTTATCTAAAACATGTTTGAAATTTATATATTCATTTTAGGGTTAACAGATGAAATGTTTCTTCTTTTTACACATAATGTTGTCATGTGTGTGCAACTTGATTTAACAGTGTGAGGATTTTTTGAATAGTTCCATGAACCTGCATTGTTATAAAATTATTCACTCACTCGGGCCACCAGGATAAAGAACTACTTTGAGCCCCATATCACTCTGCTACTGTTTTTGGGAGCTTACTCATAAGCTAGTTTTTCTAATGATTCATAAATTTTAATGTAAATGTAAATTGTCAACATTGAGGTAATGATGATATGACTAATCCATGATATATGTGCAATGCGTGAAATGAATTCTGGATATCATTTCTGTGAAAATTCTTTACTCATTTTCATTTGTTTTATTTTGAGTGTTTTAAAGTATCCTTAGAGATTTTAGTTTATGCAGTTTGGATCAAGATACACAATACTACATGCTTCTGATAAACATAAGTTACATTCTTGTTAAAACTCCTTTAATATCTTACATTGATGATGGATTTTGTGATTCTTGACAATTAGGCATGTTCTTGTGTAACTAATCTATGCCCTATTATTAGTAACCAATAATATTTGATTATAAACTCCATGCATGGTATTTTACGGTTCTGGATTCTTGAAAGGTAAGAATGATAGCAATGGGGTTTGGTAAGAAGGAAAGAAAAGGAAAATGAGAGAAAATAATGTTGTTATCGATGAATGATCCATAAATGAATACAAGAGGAAATCCTCTTACAAGGAAATTCTCCCTTACTCTGGGCAAAGCCTCAGTTCTATAACAAAATATACAAAGGTGTCTATCGATAGGGGTTAACCTCCCTTACATGCACCACCTGGGTTTCCCTCCTGACTCTCTAATGGCATAACTGCCTTATTAATAGCTGCTAATTACCCTGGGCCCTGACCAACTTCCCTAAACAGAACTAACCACTGCCTAGGTCAGAGTTATTGATAGCACCGCTTTTGCGCACTATTGCACTATCGTAGCTCATTGCGGCACCCAGCCACTACTGGCCACTATGGCACGTTCACTATAGCGGCTGCTATTGCAGCCAATAGCATCTATTTTTGCCCTTGATTTGAAGTCCCAACAGCCATATTTTAAGGGTTAAATCTGTTCTCCAACCCCAATTTTATACCCATTTATTTCTTTGTTGTCAATGATACCATGGCTCCCCTTTTTGATTACTGGTTATTTGTGTTGGTAGAAGACGGGACGGGTTGAGTACTCTAGTAATCAAAAATTTTACAGGTAATTATTTAAGTCTGATCCAAATCCATTTCATGAGTAAAGAGAGGATTGTGGGTGGGTAGCTATCGAGTGTGGGTATCATTTTTAAATCTGAACCCAAACCCATTTTTACATATAATTATTTAATTATGAATGAATTTCTTTATTTTTTGGCATTTATATGTGTGGTATATCTATATAACAGGTTTATGCATAGAACTTCGCTATTGCGCTCTTTTCTACCTGCTATAGCGTTATAGCATTTTCAGACATCGGCCACTACCGTGTTTGATAACTAGGGTATATTCCTTTGGAAATATACTTGCCAAGCTGTAGGTTGCCCCTCTCTATTCATAATACGGGTTGTGATAATGCCGCTCCCTGCAAAACAACCTTGTCCTCAAGGTTGAATTCTGGAAAATGTCTTGTATCATTAATCTGATTATCTGTTTATATGATCTTGGTGCTGAATTTTCATTTTAAGGATAGTTACTTCGCCAAAACTTATGAGAAATATCTATGGTGATATTTGTTTTTCCCTTCTACAGTTGGTCATTTTTTTAATATTGCAAGTTCTGTCAATAAGCAACATTCTAAGCTATATTTTTTTTGCAGTCTTTTCAGCACAAAAGCTTCTGGATGCTGCGGGATGCTGGATGCTTAGCTGAAGAAAATATGGGACTTGAGAATTCTTCCAGAATTGAACCAAAGCGAAGTCATCAGTGGTTTATGGATATAGGGGAACCAGAAATATTCAGCAACAAGAAACAAGCAGTTGAAGCTGTTAGTGGCAGGCCAGTTCCGGGAGTTTCACATGTGAATGTTACTCAATGGGACACCAATTCCGGATTTCACTCAGCCACAGGTCAATTTTCTGACCGTCTCTTTGGATCTGATCTTGTACAGACTGGCAGTTTGGTTGATAAGAACATGCCATCAATTGGAAGTGGAAATCTGAATGTAGTAAGGAAGGATTTTGAGAAGCAATATTTTAATGATCCATCTGTGGGCTTGTCAATATCTCATCCCATAGCAGACCCCTCATCATGTCTCAATCTTGGTGGCATCAGAAAAGTTAAAGTTAATCAGGTCAGAGATTCTGACAATTGTATGCCTTTTTACATAGGGGACTCCTATAGTAGGGCAGATAATAGTACAATTTCAATAGGTACTGGCTACAATAAGAATGATGGCAACATTTCGTTGGGCCCAACTTATAACAGTGGAAATGACTGTACCATCGCTATGGGTACCAGAATAAGTAGGACTGATGACAATCTTGTTTCTATGGGTCACGCCATCAATAAAGAGGATGGGAGTTTTATGTTGATGGGGCACAATTATGGCAAGGGAGCCGAAAGCATCTTATCAATGGGTCAGCCCTTTGACAGGGGGGATGAAAATTTCATATCAATGGGTCAGTCATATGAAAAGGAAGGCGGCAATTTGATATCTCTGGGTACCTCATTTGCCAAGGGGCATGAGAGCTTTATGTCAATGGGTGCAACCTATAGTAAATCAGGAGAAGATTTCATAACCATTGCTCCTTCTTATGACAAGGGCACTGATCATATAATATCAATGGGTCCAACATATGATAAGGTGGATTCAAACATTGCATCAACAGTTCCATCATATGACAGAGGAGATTCTAGCTCTTTACCTGTAGATCAAAACCACAATAAGGGTCAGAGCAGTACTATATCTTTTGGAGGTTTTCATGATGACCCTGAGCCAAATCCCTCTGGTGGAATCATTAGTGGATATGATCTGTTGATGGGCATCCAGAATTCAGCTCAGGGTTTGGATAGCCAAAAGGATCTGACTGAGTCGAACTCTGAACCACCTGTAAATAGCATTCTAAAACCTAATACTAAAAGTGATACTATCCTTAAGAACAAAGAGCCCAAGACAACTAAGAAGGCAACTCCTAACAACTTCCCTTCAAATGTCAAAAGTTTGTTGTCAACTGGTATTTTTGATGGTGTTCCGGTTGAATATTACTCATGGTCACGGGAGGTAGAATGTGTCTTTCATTTTATCTCGTTTTGTTTCTGAGCTGTTGTAGTTTTTATACTAATGTTTTTAACATGTTTGGTGTTCTGCTTGGCAGAAAAATCTTACAGGAATCATAAAAGGAACTGGGTATTTATGCTCGTGTGATGACTGCAATCAGTCAAAGGTTAGCAGTTCAAATTACTCACATTCTGATAATCTGCATAATCCAAGTGATGTGCTTATACATTAAATTCTGTCATGAAGGCTCTTAATGCATATGAGTTTGAACGTCATGCTGGTGCCAAGACAAAACACCCTAACAATCACATATACTTTAAGAATGGAAAAACCATCTATGCTGTTGTCCAAGAGCTGAAAAACACTCCTCAGGAGAAGCTTTTTGATGCAATTCAAAGTGTGACTGGCTCCCCCATCAACCAAAAGAACTTTCGTATTTGGAAAGGTAACGAGAAATTTCAGTTTGCTTGGTTGTGGTTAAAAACACCTGGCATTCCTTGCTTCAATTGTTTATACTTAAGATTAAATACGATTCAAATTCTTTGATCTTTTCTACTAGTAATATATTTTCCCCTTATCAGCATCATACCAAGCTGCTACGCGGGAGCTTCAGCGTATCTATGGAAAGGATGAAGTTGTCATACCATCTTGAGTTTAATTCTCTTCTTGGAAGTTCAGAACAATGGTAGATATGTAATCTGTTCATAGCGAGTGAATGGCAGCCTAATAGTGTTTAAGACTATTTGAAATTTAAAAGTTTTAGCTGATGCTTCTTGTAGGAACTTAATTGATTTATTTATGGAAATGAGGATGTCTTTTTTGTGGTTTAGCATCATTCTTTCCCTCACTATTTACTGATCTCTTGTCACCTTTATTAAATTCCTTTGTTCCTTTGTGAATCTTTGAGAGGATCTATTCAATATTAAATTGTCATTGTCTATTTTGCAGGTAGTAACTCACCCCATCTCATCTATTATGTTTAAGGAAACTTGGTAAGAAGTTGAAAAAAAGTTATTACATGGGAGAGGAGAGAGTATATTTCCTGGTATATGTAGAACAAATGAGAGCACGCTGACGGCTTAGCTAGCAGTTTTATGTTTTTGTTGGGCATTGTGAACCACTAACAATTTATTGTACTAGGTTTTGGTTCAGGTGAGAATAGTTTCTCTGGTCATCCAGCTAAATTTGATCGACTGTTTGCTATATTTTATATTTTTTTCAGTTATAGTCTCTTGCCTCTAATGCAAGTTTACCAATAGATAATGGTCCAATCGTCAATGGTAAATCGTATCAAATCAAAAGATTTGTAGACACAAAAGTATCTAAATATCATATTAAAAATATCTTAATATCATAACATATGATGTTTAGTATAATAATTTTAAATTAGGAATAGACAGAATAACTTAATCATAATTCTCAAGTCAAGATGATAAGTTGTAAGTAATAATTGAGTCACATAAAGTAAATATAACCAAAATAGGGTGCATATACAGTACGTTTATAAAGTCTGTGTTTCAAAAGAAAGAAAATAAAGCATTGAAACAACAAGTTAAAATGCACAAAATGAGTAAGTGATTATGCCAAAGCCTTGTTTAAGAAAAATGAGAAAAGGACAATGAGAATAAATTTAGTAGCGTCCCATTAGAGTCCATTTGGATGGATTTTTTTTCTTCTTCCAAAAGCTACTTTTTTTATATAAAAAAAAAAAAACACTTTTCACTACAAAATCTATTTGGATATCTGTTTTAAAAAAGCAGAAGTAAAAAAAAAAATATATTCAAAAACCTATTTTTTTTGTTAAGCTACAAATTTTAACTTCTAAAAAAAGCAGGAATCAAAAGGCAAATATTTTTTTCAAAAACTAATTTTTTTTTTTAAATCTAAGTAATTTTAACTTTTGTAAAAAACAGTTTGAAAATAAACAAAACATAAAAATCATTTTCTTACAAGCTCATCCAAAGGCCCTTAGGTTTCTTTTAATTTAACAATTTAATTTTATTTACTTTTTAATTTCTTTTTTGAGGACTGATGAAAGAAAAAGAATTTTTGATTCATTCGATTGGTTTGAAAGTCTTGAATAATTCTACGTGTTTCTTAATTAGAGAACAATGACAGGACGTGTCTCCCTTTTTTATTGTCCCCAGATTCGTATTCTTTATCGCACATCTCATAATCTTCATGTCACACAAATCGTTGGCGGCAAATTATGCCAGCAGCATTACGTACGAAAGCTACATAAGAGGAATTTTATAAATATAATTAGACATCCTCATATGCTGACACTATCTAGATTAGGCAAGTTTTATTTTGTTCCTGAATTTAAGATGTTTTAATAGATCCTGTTGGTTGAAATTGGGAAGCCATGTTCTCCAATTTTATAACAAAAACAAGACACATTGATGTAGACTATACTAGCAGTAGAACATAACATAGAAAGACGAACTCATTGGAAGACCAGAGTTATTTTTCTATTGAAAGTAGTACAAGAATAAATATTGCTTGAGAAAAAAAACAATTTATTAGAGGAACTGTAGCAGCCAAGCAATGCCTGTGGAATTACATTTCACAAAAATTATTGAAGATGCATTTCCAAGTTACAAAGTATACACACACAAAAAAAGAGAGACGAAATATCGATGCATCAATTCAACTTGCAAGGCAACCCGCCTTTCCGTGTCCTATAGCAATTACCTCTTGGCACCAACGAAATAAAAATATCTCAGCATAAGTATACACCATGAAATTCAGTTTACCTGATGTTTTCAGAGAATCAGAAACGTAAAGGTCAAAACTCAAGCAAATATATTAAACCACCTTCCAACTATTGCTCCTTACATGGATAAATCATATGCATTATCATTCTCGAAAAGGATGCATGTGCAAAGCCTTTTCAGTATGGGAAGGTGATGGGTTCGCCTTGAAGGGCTTTCTCAGCAATCTCAGCTTGCTCCTTCTGGTGAACCTTGAGGAAACCAGTGGCTGTGGCTGCAGATGGAGCACGACCAACATATTTGACATCTTCATAAGATCCCCTACCTACAGCTTTCATGGAAGATATAAGTCGGGGTAAAACGTAAGTGTATCCACCCATGTTCATTGGCTCTTCTTGACACCAAACAATCTCCGCATCTAGAAGAAACAAAAACAGAATAAAATGTAAGACAGATGATAACAATAAACTTAACAATATTAAAATCTAACCATTTTAATGCTTAACAATATTAAAAAAACATATATCTATCTGTCGCAAACAATAGTAAACAACTATCTCCTTGTAAGTCTTGCTTAACAGCAAAAATTGAACATTTAGATCTCTCTACCTATCAGAAGGACATAAAAGAAAATTAGTTCCAAGAAAATGGTCAACCTATAACTTAATCAGACCTCCAGCAAGCAAAATAAAGCAATCAGAATCCATTTCCAAAGAACATTTTCTACAACTAAATATACATACTTGGATATCGTTTAAGCTCTCGTTGGACAAGGTCATAAGGGAAAGGACAAAGCTGTTCCACCCTACATATTGCAACATCCTTTCCATCAACCTTTGATCGATGTTCATCAAGTTCATAGTAAACCTGCAAAGGATAGTTGATTTAACAGTTATAAACAACATGTTTAAAAAACAAAGGATATCCTAGACTTTAAAACGTATATGTAACCAAAGCATAAGATGAAAGAGCATAAGAACTACTTCATATGAAGACAGATGATTTTAATACGAGTACGCAGTGCCACACACCTTTCCAGAGCACAGTACTAGACGTCTAATACCCTGCTCAATGTCTGAGTGATCATTTTGGTCTTTTATGAGGCGCTTAAATCTGGTTCCCTGTTTGTCAAAACCTGGGTGGCCTTGGACATCATCAAACTCAGATAAATTTGATCTGCAAGCCTTACTACGAAGCAGATTCTTAGGGGACATTACAATAAGAGGTTTACGGAATTCTCTATGTATCTGCAAGAACAAAAGCAGCAGAGTATAAGAAAAATAAGGAACAAAACTAAGAGAAAAATCCAACATTAAATCAATTAATTATACCAACCTGCCTCCTTAAAACATGGAAAAAGTTAGCAGGAGTTGTGACATTCACAATCTGCAAATTACACTCCTGAATTTGTTTCCGAAGAGTTGGATCCATCTCAGGGATAACATAAGGGTTGTCATCAGCCATCTGCCGTGAAATTAGTGAACATATGTTATTTAATACTGAATACAGATAAAATGTTATTTAACAACATTTGTTATTAAAATACTATAAAGATAGAATTGAGAGATGAACAGAGCACATGCAACAAAACTTAAAGCAGTTCCAAATTGAAACAAGAGAGAGAGAAAGAAAAGTAATTTTAGTTATGGAATCTCTACAAATCAAGGAGACATACTCCAAGGGTCTCCCCTTTACACCAAAGCAATGTGCCCAGGTCACAACAATTCCCCTAAAATAACCTCCCTATACAATGTTATTTCTTTTAGTATATACTATCCAAATCTTTTTCCCAACATCTTTTATCTCTGCTCCTAACACAAAGTAGGCAGCAAGATAGCATTGTTAAGTTAAACTTGTTTGTACGAGAAACAAAATCCAAACTACAAAACTAAATTTTAGAAAAGTCGTTTCTTTTTTCTCCTTTCCCCTATGTATTATCCCAATTCCCAACGTGTCTGGTTTCAGTTTCAGTGTTTTTCCATTACACTTTAGTATCCTCAAGCTACTGCAGCGATGCATATTCAGTATTTACAGTATCTACTTGTTATAGCAGTAAACATATATCATATATATCTTAAGACAAAACAGACACAACGCACAATCAACAAAGTATATTTTTCATATGAAAGCATCATTTAGTTCTTGATGTATCAATCTCAATGTAGCATAATATACAACTCAAAAGGACTGCCCATATGCTTGTCATCAATCAACAAATCCATCACAGATAACATGAGGCAGACAAACAATTGTCAAAGTTGACAAGCAGGTTCATGCAGAAGGAACAAAAGCTCAAGTAGTTTCAAGTATATCTGAACAAGGATTCACAAGAGAACCTGAAGGAAGCGTTCCAATCTCGCACTTGAATGTTCAGGGCCCTGGCCATCATAACCATGAGGAAGTAACACAACAAGCCCAGTCTGACGGAGCCACTTAGCCTCACCAGAAACCAAGAAATTGTCAAATATCACATGAGCCCCATTAGCAAAATCACCAAACTGAGCCTCCCAAATAACTAATGAATTGGGATTTTCCATTGAGTAACCCAATTCAAATCCAAGAACACCAAACTCTGACAGTGAGCTGCATATTGTTTCAAAAACTTCTTAGATAAGAGACTAAAAGTAGAAAGTAATCCATCATTAGTTCCAACATAATTACCAAGAGTTTTTTTTTTTTCAATTATCAAGTGGATTACACTGCCTAAGGAAGGAACAATAGGGTATAGAAGGAACGACAATCCTTATACTAAAAATATAAGTGCTTGTATCTACCCAAATAAATATATATATATATATATAAGTGCTTGTAAACACTTAAAGAACAAAGCCATGAATATGTAAAACACATTAGATGCCAGAACAGTATCTTAACAAAGAAACAACAATCATTGATGATAAACAAAAAGGTTCAACAAAACCAGAGAAAGACAAGTAAAAATGCCAAAATAAAGTTTGGTATTAATTGTTACCCTTGATGAATTCTTCATACAAAATGCAAAGCTAAACTGAACTGTCATTTTCAATTAAGTGAAATGAACAAGATAACCCATGCAATGTGAAAATCATGTCTAGAATTACACTTTAGTTAGTTTTGGAGAAAAAAGTCCGCAATCCAATCATCATTGAGTGATCCATTCCAGATCACATTCCAATATAATTACATTTGCCTGTAAAGTGTAAACACAGTCTTTTACAAAAAAAAAAAGTATCAACACAGTCTGACTGGACTCATATTATTCCAATTTCCCAAATATAATATTATAAAGTTTGACCCAGCATTTTTCTACATTCTTAACATCTTTTATACAAAATTCTAAAAGGCACATACAGTCCTAGCAAAGTACTATGAACAATATAATCCACAACAAATCACGTCACAAATCAAATCCAAAACTACACAAGTATTTGAAAAAAAATAAAAATGAAAGCATTATATAACTATTATTAGGCAATCAGGGTTAATCAATGAATAAGTCTAAGAAAAAAAACGTAAAAATAGGGCACAACAAAGATAGATTTCAAATTCTAAAACAACTATAACCAAATATCCATAATCACTTGACCAGCAAGACATTAATCCAAAATCAGCTTAAGCTTCATGACTGATGTAGAAGTAACAAATAACCATGTATAAAAAAATATTTTCTTCCTAGAATAATGGAAACACAAGAATCTTTAACTAAATTTAGTGATAATTACAAAATAGCATTCTATAAAAAATTATAATAATACAAAAACAGAGCATGCATTATAACTGTTTAGTGATACAGTATAGTTGCAAATATTTCATATATCTTTTAAATTCCAAGAAGTCAGAGCCAAATGCAAGCAAAGACCAGTTACAGAGATTTTATTTATATCTATGAAAACAAAGATACGAGTGATATAATATTGACAAAGCTGAAACAGGCAAGATATCTATGTATATATAGAAGAAATATTACCTATTGCTGACTGTAAACATCTCATCATTTTGGTTCATTATAACATGGTCAAGGGGGCAATATTTATCCCCTGTTGTCTGATCATGAACTACAGCATGGCGGTGACTAAAAGTTCCTCTTTCAACATCCTGACCACTTAATCGAACATGGTTACCTTCAACAAGCAATGTAGCATAAGCAAGTGACTCTGCAAAACCCCAATCAATATCTTCCCCAGTTTCAATCATTTGGGCACGTTGTTCATAAATCCTCTTCACTGCTTTATGAGGTGTGAAATTTTCAGGGACGGTTGTGATTGCTTTACCGACATTTTTCAAGATATCTGGCTTCACACTGCAGGGAAAAGTGCAAAGATTTTAGCAGTGTTTTACAAACAATAAAAAAGACTAAAGCAAAAAGAACATTGAGTTTACCATACCCAGTGTTTCGGACACGTGAAACTTGTTCAGGTGACTTGAATCCAGTCCAATATGCCGAAAGCCAATCTCTTCTCTTTGGAATGTATTCCTTGCTAGCCGAAAATTCTTGATTCAGAATTGATGTGACCTTCTTGTGTATCGTATCAATGTCTTCTTGTGTCAGCTCCCCTGATTCCAAAAGCTTCTTCTGATAGATCTCAAGAGTTGATGGATGGCTTCGGATGACCTTATTAAACCCACAAAATTGCAAATCTACTTAACTTGTCCAAAACCAAGATGCATACAAATAGAAGAAAAGCATAATAAACAAGAGAGCTAACCTTATACATTTTAGGCTGTGTGAAAGATGGTTCATCAATCTCATTGTGGCCAAATCGACGATAACAAACCAAGTCGACAACCACATCGGAATGGAAAGTCTGGCGCCACTCAGCAGCAAGTTCACAGGCATGAACAACTGCTTCCACATCATCACCGTTGACATGAAAGATGGGAGCATCTAAAGCTTTGGCAACATCAGTGCAATACTGTGAAGACCTGCCAGACATTGGATCAGTTGTAAATGCAACTTGATTATTGAACACAATGTGAATAGTCCCACCAGTAGTGTAATTTGGAAGAGCACTTAGATGTAGGGTTTCATAGACCACGCCCTGTCCGGCAAAACTACCATCTCCATGAATCAAAACAGCCATGTTTTTGGTTCTGTCCATATCATTTGAGTAATACTGCTTAGCTCGAGTTTTCCCAACAACAACTGGGTTGACAGCTTCCAAGTGACTGGGATTTGCCACCAAAGACAAATGTATCCTCTTCCCACCCCTAGTAGGACGATCATAAGATGTTCCCAAATGATACTTAACATCACCAGTTCCTGCGTAGAGCCCAATTTCATCCTCAGCCTGGCCACCACCACCACTAAACTCACAAAAAATTTGACGTAGCGGCTTCCGGACTACATTACCCAAAACATTCAGTCTTCCCCTATGCGCCATTCCCATAACTATGCTCTCGACCCCAAGATCAGACGATCGATCAAACATTTCTTTCATGCCGGGAATAAGAGTCTCTCCCCCTTCAAGCCCAAATCTCTTTGCTGACGTCCACTTGGTGGCCAAGAAGTTCTCAAACAGTGAGCTCCAAGCAAGCCTATCAAAAATAGCCTCACGACGCTCCCGGTTAAAGTGTGTAGGTGTAGGGGTTTCAATCTTGTCCCTAAGCCAATTACACTTTTCGCGATCTGCAATGTGCATATACTCATACCCAATGCTTCCACAATAAGCCTGCTCAAGCCGTGTCAATATGGACCTAAGGGTTTGGACAGGACGATTCTCAGACAAAAAACCAGCCATCCTCCACACTCCCAAAAAGAACTCCCTATCAAGATCAGCCTCAGAGAAACCATATAGGGCAGGGTCCAAATCATCTGGGATCTCCCTTGCTTCCAGACTTAATGGATCCAACTTAGCCTTCATGTGGCCATTAACCTGGTATGCCCTGACCAGCAACAGCAACCTCATACTCTCCTGGATGGTTTGACCAGAAATCCCAGGAGAGGTGGAAGCCTGACCCACAAAGTTCCTAAAGAAATTGTCCCAAGACTCATCAACACTGTTGGGGTCAGCTTCCCAAGCTCTTTGAAGCTCCTCTAAGTAAACACTGCTTGTCCCATCCAAGAAGCTGTCAGTCAACCTAGAAAGGGGAACAGGGCGAGGTACAGGAGCAGCTTGCTCTTTGGATTTGAAAACCGTGGTCTGAAAGCTTCTACTCTGTGGTGATGGAAAGACTCTAGCCCTTGACACAACATATGAGGATCTGCCCTGAGAAAGGGTCTTTCTAATTGCATGCTTTGCTATGCTAGCTCCAGCTCTAAACCATGCCATGGCTGATGCCTCTCACTCTAAACAATTAACAAAATCACCAATATTCCTATCTCCTTAAGGCTCTGCCTTTATAATCACAACGCATCTGACACAACCATATATACACACAATATTATTAGCCATAAAAAAAATAAATGATAACAATAAACGATTCAATTTTGAAAACTACTAGAAATACAGTTTATTAGAATAATTGCATAGAATTAACAGCAATAAAAGATTCAATTTTGAAAGAATAAAACGAAAATTGAGGATTAAAAGATTGATTGATGGATTCAAGTTAAGAAATCCTAGGGTGAGTGTAAAGTACATTGGAATCAGGAAGCGAGAAACGGAAAAGAGAGAATAGATGAGGAGGGAAAGAGGAACCTGTGTGAAGAAAATGGGAGAGAAATTGGAACGTGCGAACCCTATTGCGTTAAAGCCAAGCGAGTGTGTGTGTGAGGGAGAGACAAATAAAGAGATGGAAAAATGGAAAATTCAACGCTTTGATTTGATTCAGTTTTTCAACGATTTGATTTGCATTCCCACGTTGGGCCCCCATGTAAAAATATTATTTGATCACAATAACATTTTTAAATGAATGAATGGTTGTGAAAAGTATATAATTTTTAAATGAACGATCGTGATCAGATAATATGATCATATGATCACATTTTCACATAAGAGGATCCAAATTCATTCTCGCTGTTCTCGAACTATTTGATGTGATGTATAACACTTGATAGTATAAGCTTATATTATACATTATGATATTTTTAATTGTTTGGTATGACCATCGTATAGTATAAGCTTATACAACAGGATCTCTTTATACATTAGAATGATGTATAACTTAATCAGGCTTAGAAAAATTGTATTATGTCTGATAAGAGGTTGATGTATTAACTAATGCATTTCTCAATAATTAATATTATTTTAATATTAGTATATTAAAATAAAAAATAATTTTTCAATATATAATTTTTTAAAATATTGGAGATTTTTACTTTTATAAAAATTAATATATATTTTTGGACACACTAATCAACAAATTTGTATAAAAAATAATATCATCTGATATATTTGGAAAAATTATGTAACTTCATTATTAAAAGGTATTTTTGACAAAAATATTTTTTTTAATCTATCTAGTATTGTACATTGTATTACCAAATATTGGATAATATTATCTTATACAATATATTATCTTATACAATATCATGCCAAATGCTGGATAGTATTAAAATTTAATCATGTCTTATACTATCAGGTCTTATACTATTAGGCCTTATCCTATACTATATACCAAACATGTCCTAAAAGAATTTATGTAGGACAATGTAGGCATATAAATAGGCCAACTTCTATAAGTGGTACATGGCTTGCGCCATATTCGGCTTTTCACATATAATTAAAAGAGCATGTTTAGATTTCAAAAAAAATTATTTAAAAAATAAGTCATACGTTTTTTTTTTATATATCGAATTTATAAATTTAGAGGCTTATTTATTTTAAATTAAATAAATAAATTATTATTTTAATAATAAAGTAATATTTTTTAATTTTTAAATGTGCAATAAGCTTAAAGAGGCCTAAGCCAAGATTTTTGTTTTTTGAATATAAGTCAGACCAGATTTATTATTTGGATCTACATAAGGCTAACAGACTAGACCAGATCTAAATATTTTACACAGGCCTAGTTTAATTAAGTTAAAACCTGACCCGGCTTAGCCTATTTATACCCCTAAATGTATGCTCTTCTTTTACCTTTCGGGGGTGTATTTTTCTGTTAAAATTTTATAAGATCCGGTCATATAATTATTATATCTATCTAGGTTTTCACATGCATTAGACAGGTAAGGTCCAATTACTAGATTATGTGAACTTTTAACATATGAGGGTCCAATTACTAGGTTTATTCTCTTAAATGAATTGATTAATGTGTAAGAGAATCATGTATGTATCTTTTAGGGGTGCTCTAAGTAGCAATGATATAGATCAAGGGATTGTTAGAGTTTTCCATATACTGTGCAAGGCATAAATGGTATAGAATCATGTTTAACCTGCCCTTGTTGGGACAAGGCATCCTACAAACCATTATCAATTTAATATGGTTGCTGCTATATGCATATATGCAAAGGAAAAATAAGGGAGAGATCTTGTGTGAGACGTTCTGTGTCTCACTTTGGAAGATCTTTTGAGGTGTTGCAGAAAAAGGCCCTTAATCGATTGGGCTAATCAGAACACCTCCATTTTACATGGGTATCATTTTCGACCATTGTATCATTATAAATTTGGGATTAAATGGAAAAATCATTTTTTAATAATATAAATTAGAATAAATACTTAAGTTAATCTCTTAAGATTAACATATAATAAATTAGTTTTTTTCAAAGAATAAAAGAACGAAATATTAACTTTATATTTATCAAGTAAGAAAATGCTTCACACACACATACATATATACATATATATATATATATATATAGTAAATATCTTTTTTAGTCTCTGGCAATATCCACGAAGCCTTTTTCAGTCCCTAACAATAAAAAAAGGACAAATTAGTCTCTGAAATAACAAAAAAGATGCTACGTTCATCCTTCCGTTAACTCTCACCTAACGGTGCACAGTTGGCACGTTAGTTTGCTGACGCGGCTTGGATGTGGGACACCGTGGAAGATGAGACGATGACGTTTTGGTCCCTGTCAAAACCACGAGGGCCATTTTGGTCCCTGTCAAAATGCACGAGGACGTTTTTAGTTCCTGACAAAAAGCACGAGACCCTTATTGGTCCCTAACCAGAGAAAAATAGGCACATGACTTCATTGCTTTTCTATGCAATCCAACTTTGCAAAACAGAAGTGCATTACATCAGAAACAGGAGTGCAATCCATTTGTTCATCACAAAATAATTAAACTAAATTTCATCACAAAGTAAAATACTCTTTCTTGGCATTTTATTTCAACGAAGTTTGTGTTTCTAACTGAAGTTTCGACCTTATTAACGATTATTCATTTCTTTTTCAATGCTAATTAAGCTTCCCACTTTGTTAAAAGGGATTCTTACTCTTGCAAACAGCTTTTACGATCCCTAGAATACTATGAACTGCTTTAATTCTCTTAGTCTGTATAAGACATAGTGTTATGCGATTTACGAATAATATCTTCAGTAGTGTAGCATTACAATTATACTATTTATTTTTCTATAAAAGATAATTGCATGATTGTTGATATTTAAATACAGAGAAAAATCAGAGAAGAAGCCAGGTAAATGATTGTTGATAATTGCAATGCATGACAGTTGACTGGACTGCCGCAGTTGGTAGTTCTCAGCCACATGAAGGCAACTTGAGAGGAAGCAGCCCACCTCCATCAAATCCACAATAGGCAAATGAGCTGTTGAGTAATGAAACAATGAATGCAGCAACCAGTGGCACACGAAGTAGATTATTGGCCTTCATGAGCACGCCTGGTTTTAGGCCACCAAGGCCTGCCTCAAGAAAATGACCTGCTGCTGTATATGACCTGGGAGTAGAGCATGAGCCAACTGAGAAGGGTTTATTATTATGTGACTGACTTTTTTTGAAAATTCTGGCCATTATGTATTTGGATGCCTTATTATGTCAATGTTTGTTTTGTAAATTCTGGCCATATTGTATTAGAGGCCTTTCTTTTAATTCCTAGCAGTTGGCTTTATTTTGTAATGCACTACTGTACATCCATGTCTTCAAATATAATGATACTCAAATCATGTTCCAGCTAGTATGTTTCATAGGGTTGATGAATGTTTAAGTTTACCATTTTTGATGTTTTTTAACTAATATACGTAGTTGTAGTTCTTGTACATCCATGTCTTCTGGTTTAACAAATTGGACTGCATACAAATCCAATTTAATGTCATGTTCCTGTTTTTCAAAATTGGATTGCACTCATATTTCTGATGTAATGCACTTCTGTTTTGCAAAATTGGACTGCATAGAAAAGCAATGAAGTCATGTGCCTATTTTTCTCTGGTTAGGGACCAATAAGGGCCCCGTGCTTTTTGTCAGGGACTAAAAACGTCCTCATGCATTTTGACAGGGACCAAAATGGCCCTCATGGTTTTGACAGGGACCAAAACGTCGTCGTCTCGTCTTCCATGGTGTCCCACATTCAAGTTGCGTCAGCAAACTAACGTGCCAACTGTGCACCGTTAGTTGGGCCGTTAGGTGGGAGTTAACAGAAGGATGAACGTGGCCTCTTTTTTGTTATTTCAGGGACCAATTTGTCCCTTTTTTATTGTTAGGGACTGAAAAGGGCTTCGTGAATATTTCCAGGGACTAAAAAAGGTATTTACTCATATATATATATATATATATATATATATATATATATATATATATAATGAATAAAATTAAATGGACACATGTGATGGACAATTCGAATAGGAACATATTGCATTTGGGGTAACCAACTTTGACTTCAATTGATATTTTTTACAAATTGAAATTTCAAACCCTGCTCTCTTTGTCTATATTTGAATAGGCCAGACTTCTTTTCCAAATCAAAATTAATATAATAATATATCGATGTAAATAAATAGTATAGTAGATAAAAATTATTTCTTCTGATTGATGACGCACTTTATTTTAGTCTTTTGTTGTGCGTTTTGTGATGCAGGTAGTTATCTTATTTATTAAAATATACTCATGAGATAAAATGAGAATTGATTTTAGGTTATTGACTTGACGATTAAAGTGAAATTTCATTCAATAAAACAAAAATTAAAAGAGAATGCTGTTTTATTAACATTTTTGCATATGAAAAATTCTAAACATTTTATTTTAAATACATATATGCGTATAACTTTATGCAAATTTCATTCCCTTGTGAATGATACATTGATACGATAACACCGACGCCATCAACTGGTTGTGGTGTTAGCAAATAACAATGTCCATAATTTTATGCAACTTCTCAGCGCTCACGAATAAATCTCATATGATCATAGACCACTGGGAAGAGTGCATGAATTATAAAATTTGAGCAAAGGTGAAAATACTGCATTATATTATTGACTTTGTTATTGAAAGATCAAACACATGCAAGCATTAGGTATGGGAAGGAGAGAAGCGTCTTGGTTGAAGATGAAGCTTCTCAAATCAACATCACACCCAAATAATCCTAAAAGCTACGTGCCATTTCAGTAAGCATGGCATACAACCTTTCCTAAGCCAACCATCAAAATAAGAACTTCTGGGATACTATTTCCAAGAGATAAAAGTTTTTCTTATGATCTATCTGAATCTAGTCAAGTGAGATGTTTTTTAAATAGTCAAAGTACAAATGAAAGAGGAGAGTGGGGGAGCAAATGAACTAATCACGACAAATCCAAACACTAGGAGAGAAAAAAAAAATTCGAAATAGTATCTTAAAAACATAATCTTTGCAGTTGGGAAATACAGGGACAAATACATGCTCCCACTTCTAATGTCATCAAAATAACTTTAGCACCCAGATGAGGGCAAGTGTTGAATCTGCACCCTCTTACTGCAGATGTGATTCTGTTCATGAGCCACAGCAAGCCGACTTTTGAGCAGCTTGACCCCCACTGGCACCTTGGTCTGGTTGGTTAATCTTGATAGTCTGAGGCTGAATCACACAAGAAGATAATATCACCATTCAGCATAGAGAAAAAGAATCAACAATTCCATCCATTTCTTTCAGAAGTTAGCATTAAGAAACTCCAGATATTTCCTCAAAAAGTCTAAAAAAAAAAACCAATAGAACTAACTGGATACAAGACGACAAAAGTTTAGTCTTTCAGAAAAGAAATAAAAATTTAGAGAAAAATGAAACCTCAGCCTTAGAATCTGTGTCAGCAAGCCTTTGCTTGATATCTTTTGCTATTGAAAAGAAAACCTCCTCCACATTCAAGTTTGTCTTTGCACTCTGCAAGAGTTCTTCCAATATAAATATAACAAAGTCGCATATAATTCAATGAAAATTGTGGTTGTCAACATTGTTCTACTCACGGTTTCAAAAAACTTGATACCATACTCGTCAGCAAGAGCTTGACCTTTGGAGGTAGGCACAGCCTAAAGGAGAAAAAAGATTCTTTGTTGGAACCAATGGATTATGGATAAATTACCATAAAGATAGATATAAACAGAGAGAGAGAGAGAGAGAGAGAGAGAGAATGCTCAATGTCATATCAGTTAACAAATGTGGCTTGAACAGAGTCAATTATGCACCATTTGCTTAGTCCACTAGTTTTAATCTCCAGCCAACCAAGATGTAAGATGTAGATAGGAAAGGACTTCCAGAGGTACATACCCTTTTACTTTCATCCATATCAGCCTTGTTACCCACAAGTATCTTGTTTACATTGTCAGAAGCATGTTGTTCAATGTTGCGAATCCAGTTCCGAATATCTTGACAGAGAGAAGCAAGATATATTAAAAATGAAAGGCAGGCAAATTGAACTAACGAAACTTAACCACAAAAGACAGATCTTTTTGTCCACATAAATCAATGTAAATCAGAGAGCAAGACAGTCAAAGGGACAAAAACGAGATTTATTTGTTTATTTTTGTGTGTGTGTGTGTGTGTGTGTTGGGGGGAAGAAGAAGAAGAAAACACAATTTGATATGTCAGCCACACCAAAAATGAAGTATACAATAAATACTCCCAAACATTACTGCATAAATAAGCACATAAAAACATCAGAAAGGGAAGGAGAGTACTATTGAAAGATGCTTCATCAGTAACATCATAAACGAGCAAGATGCCCATGGCTCCACGGTAATAAGCTGCAAAAGCAAGTGATATTGTAAGAAAAAATTTCTTTCATCAAAGAAATGGAGGTTGCAATTAAAACTAGGACATCTACCCTCAGTATGAACATAAATTACCGTAATGTCTGAATAAATTTATTAGGCAATAAGATGGGAAGCCTGTTAGACTAAGTATTTTGTCCATCTATCAAGTCCACATTCATTTTGGATTTATGAATTGTGAGTGATTCATATAATCCATAATGATTCAAAGCAATCTTCAAAATTGAAGGATCCTCCAAAAAAATTATTTTCTACAGAAAACTCTCAAAAAGTAATCAAATCAAATTACTATGAATGCCTATAAAAATTAATATCCCTTAAAATTTCATTTTCAATTAATCACAAATACAACACATCAATTAACTTTTACTGATGATCCTATCATGTATTGCCAAATCATTACAGAAATTAACTATTACAGCCAATACTTAGGAAGCCTAACACTTTTAATGAAGTGTACGAGTATATATATATATATACTTATGTGGTAATAGTGGTAATAGTTCGATGGTTCGAAATCACTGTGGTAATAGTTCGAAGCCTAACCCTTAAAATTGGAATGTTTAAACTTAAAACATAATTGATTTATCCAGGTCGCAGAAGACAAAACAAATACCTGTGGTAATAGTTCGAAATCGCTCCTGACCAGCTGTATCCCAAATTTGTAACTTAATGCGTTTGCCATCGAGTTCGATGGTTCTTATCTTAAAATCAATGCTGCAAAATAGAGTATTATTTCCATCAATGAAAGTGCACATTTAAGCTTGTGTAGAATTACTTATGTGCAAACAGAGGCTAAACATATTGACCAATATGGTACTCCCAACAATGAGATAATTGTCTATAATAAATATGATGTTTGATAAGTACAGCATGCCACATGAAGTCTGGACATTGAATCTTCCCTGCTGTGTTTTCCAAAGCACATTAAAGAGAAACAGGACAAAAATTTCAGGCCGCCTTACTAATTACTTGGTAGACTATAGTCATTACTGAGTGGAAAGTGGAAACATTGATATAAGCATCTCAATATCAACAGTAGCACAAGGCAGTAGCCAGTAACTTCGATACTAAGCATTTTCACAAGGGAAAAAAAAGTCAACAGATACTAACCCAATGGTGGTGATAAAACTGGTTGTGAAAGAACCATCAGAAAATCGCAAAAGCAGACAACTCTTCCCCACACCTGCAAGAGTTAGTCAGAAAGCTATTTCTTTTAATATAAAAAAGAGGACAAAAGTTCAGGTGAAATATAAAAAGAAAAAGAAAACAAGACACCATGATATTAGATGCTAATACATATGCACAACTTCACAAGCACACATACATACAAAAAAGCAAACATGCATAAATATGTATAATTTGAATATTCAGGTGAGCATGTTTGTGAATATTTTACATTTGGAGACACCGGGATACTAGATCCTTACCAGAGGCATATTGCAATTTGCATACTTATCAATCTGCCTTCTATTTAGTTTTTTTTTTTTTTTTTAAATACTTCAAAAATTCTAAAATTCTAAAACAATTACGAAATCGACCAAAATTTCAGAATTTTTAAGGAATTATAAAATCTTAAATAAGTACCCATTAACCATACCTTACTATAGGAACTACTTTTGCAACTTATGACACTAGAGACACCCAATATACATATGTGCGTATTACATATAGTGCACATTTATGTATTGCATACATATATTTTTATACAGAGTTGACTAATGAATAGTCAATGGCTCGACAACAACAACCAAGCCATATCAGCTTATCGTGCTAGGATGGGTGGATTACATGAGTTAATCAATACCATTGGACTCTATCAAAATCCTAATTTTCAATTAAACCATTTAGAGTAAGTTCTTTGTCAACAGTTTATCCAAAAGATTTTTATGCTCTTCCTTCACTCTTTTTAATCAAATTATCTTCAATTTGACTTTGATCTCATTGGTATACTCTTCAGTCTTCAAATGAGCAAACCACCTGACCTCAGGTGATTTTTTGTCATCTCCTCCATAATAGGTGCTACTCTAACTTTCTTCCCGTTACATAAGAGAAAGAGAAAACATAAACATAGATTGATAGGCCATTATTAGGCATTAAGTCATATAATATGTACAAGAGCAATTATAGGATATTAGAGTATGAGCCTTTATTGGTTTTCTCTTCACATGAACAAATCACCTTCAGTGAGTTTGTTATCTCTATAAGAAAAAACATAGAGAGATTGATAGGCCATGATCACAATTGTGTCAGGCAATATGTCATATAATGTGGACAAGATCAATTATACTATTATAGGATACCAGAGTACCCCACATATTCAGTACTCCCATTTAAATACTGAGCACATGCTATAATTCATAAAACTCTTGAATTGGTTCAAAATGTTATCTTTTCCTGTATGCCCATTGATCCACATCAATGCTCTCATCAACTAGGAATATATCATCTGCCGGCACTAGCTCTTGAATGTTCCCAGTGAGTATGTCCATTACCAACATAAAATCATATAGGCTCAAAGTCCACTATTGGTGCAAACCGTAACCTACTATCATAGGAAAATCATTGATGACACATCCTAGAGTTCACATGTTAGTTATCGCCACATCATGCATAGAGTGACTCTAATATGCAAGTCTCTTGTCTTAATCACTCTTTACCACAATTTCATAGAGTGACTCATGAGCTTCATCCCTCGGTAGTTTGCATAATTTTGTATGTCTCCTATATGGCTATATTCTTGTGAATAGGTGATCTAAGTACTCCTCATACATTTTCTTAAACCTAATTATCTCATTGAACAACTTATATGCCAAGTTATACCTTTCCTCCCCAAACACTTCAAAACTTTACCGTGCATATCATCCAGTCTAATTGCTTTTCTTAAAGAGTGTCAAATATAGCAATCTCGTATTTTTTTTTTAAAAAAAATTAAAAAAAAATAAAATTTGCTTCAATCAATAGTGGTCATACCACAGTTAACAATCAAACACCCCTCCCCCCCAAGAAAAAAACTAAATTGAAATGAACCCATAATTCAAAACGACAAATGGAGCGTCCCTAAGAGAATCAATAACCAACCCTTTTGGTTAGTAAACCCAAAGCCAAAGCAAAAAAGCATTAAGATCTGAAAACTAAAAACAAGGCCATTTAATTTTGCATAATAAAGGGAAGGCATAACTAACCGCTGTCGCCAATAAGAAGAAGCTTGATGAGGTAATCGTAATCGGCACGTGCCCTTGCAGTAGGTGCTGCCATCGGTGACCACACAACACACGCAAACGCAAAAAGACTCTTTTTTTCTTTCTCTCTCTGTGTCTCTGTCTCTGTGAAGAAAGACGTGAAAAGTGTTGAAAAAAGAAAAGGGTATCAGAGATCAGAGAAGAAAGGATCCAAATGGGTTACGGTTTTTGGTTTTGGGAGAGAGTTTGGGGTGTTTTCTTTCTTTCTCTCCGCGTATACTGCGTGCCTCTCCTCCGTCTCTCGCTCTACAGTGGGAGCTTAGATGTGACCACTTTCCTTAATATACTTCTAAGTTCTACCCATCCCTCATTAGATTATCTTATAGCCTATGAATTATAATTTCAATATTAATTATTAATTTTATATTTTAACGATTCATGCAATTAATAAATATAATTTTTGAATTTAATTAAGATATGAGATAAATTCACCAAAAAAAAAAAAATATGAGATAAAATTTATTATTTAATATCAGTATATATACCATTTTTATAGTAATTTTACGTACACCACTAACTAGAGATGGCAATATGGGTTAAACTCGATGGATCAACCCGTCAAAATGGGGCGGGACAGATTGTACATTTCAACCCACCTCAACCCGCCCCGCTTAGTTGCGGGTCAAAGAGGGTTGGTGGTGGAGCGGGCGGGTTGGCCCGTGGGTTAATTTTTTTTTTTACTATTGGGCAATACTTTATTTGTTACTAAGCTTTTGTGATATGAAATTTTTTTTTTATCTTATTACTTCCCAAGAAAAAAATAAAGAAGAAAATTTTTATTTATGACAAAGGTTATACATATATGGAAGCAAAAATAAGTTCTTAAAAAATGTATGACTGAATATTAGTATACATTTAGGCTTTAGATTGGAAAAATTACTTTAGGAGGTGTATTGGATTAGGATTTTAATGGATTGTTTTTGGACAAAAAAATCCGTTGGTATTCAATTAGTATTTTAATGGATTGAAAAAAAATCATGTGGTATTCGATTAGGATTTTAAAAAATTATTTTAGAATCCGTCCAAATCCGTTGGTATTCAGTCAGGATTTTAAATAAGGGAATCACAATCTCGTGGTATTCAAAAATTCGACAATTTTAATGGATTTTCTATTGGTGTGAATTTCGTGAGACTTTTTAGTGAAAAATATAAATAGGATGCTTCTCTCACAATCTTACCCTAACCTTTAGGATTTCTTGAGATCTCTTTATTGCAATGTTTTCTTCTTCTTTTGGCAGGTTGACTCGCTCGAAATCGGATTCCACCGTGGGAGTTTCATCAAAACTCAAAAATAACATATTTTTTAGCGATTTTCATTACAAAACCCAGAAACAACAAACCAACGAGATTTTTTAGTCATTTTTTCAGAAATTTGAAAGTTTAAAAAGTTATTTTCAAGCTATGGGTCGCAGTTTTTCTTGACACAAAAAGATGTGGTTTTTGTATTAAAAACAAGATAAATAGTGGAAAATTAACAGGGAACTAAAACCCTCAAACCAATTCTCGTTTCACATCAATGAAACAATATCAATTAAAGAAAAATTGAAACTTTCATAATATGAACCCTATATTTCGTAACAATACATTCATGAACGAAATTTCTTCACTATATGAAAGGATTTTAAACAATTTTTGTATCAATAGATAACTAAAAAATTATTTTTCAAAAGCCCCAAAGCAATTTAAGGTTTCAATGTATCGATTAAAAAAAATTTGAGAAACTTTCTATACTTTCATATAATAAAATCCAAAAATTCAGATTTAAAATTTTCTTATGCATATGATATATGGTTAAAAAACTCTCATCACATAGAACAAAACCTCCAAGATTTTCAAGATCAATTGCAAAAAATTTCAAAAAAAAAATTATCATGAACTTTAAGTTCTGTATGCAAATTTAGAATTATTTTAATTATTAAAAATTTGAGTTTTATAATCATATATGTATAGTTTTGAATCTTTGATACCAAATGAAGAAGATAATTTTTAATCCAATGGTCAAACCCAAGAGCATGAACAAGAAAATGTTAATGCGTGGAGGACTAGTATAACTTTAGATATATGAAGAGTTGTTACTCAGTAATTTTGAATATTTGTTTAAAATTATATTTGTTTTACTGATTGAGAAAATTATATTAGGTTATACTTTTTTTGTATTAATTTCATTGCATTTCTTTGTTATTTTTTTACTGACTCTTGTAATTTTGAATGTTTGTTAAAAATTCATACGATTTTTTAAAATCTTATAAATCCATATTGTCCTTTCAAATCTTATAAATTCTATTAAAATCTAATCTTATGAATCTTGATTGTAAAAAAAGTCTTTTAAAAAAGTCTTTAAAGTCCCTCCAATTCTAAAATGTCTTTTAAAATCTGTAAAAAAATGTATCTCAAAAAAATCTTTTAAAATTCAAAACAAATATACCCCTTAAGGGGATTGTTAAATGAAAATAAGTAATATTATAAATTTAATAAAATATAATTTATTTTTTAGGCGGGTTGACCCGCCAACCCACCACAAAACTGGGTGAATTGGAATTTTCAACCCATACCAAAATGCGGGGCGGGGAGGGACAACCCATTTTTGGCGGGTTGGAGGCCTGCCAACCCGTTTTGCCACCTCTACCAGTAACAAGTGTATGACTATGATTTTCCTTATTTAATGCTTTCATCTGTTGTATGATTATGATTCTCCATATTTGATGCTTTCACACACACACACATATATAGTCGATTTCCGTCAATCAACGGTTATCATTTATTGAAAATTAATAATTAATTAATAAGTTTGATTGACGGAAATTATAATCGTTGATTGACGGAAATCAATGGTTAGAATTTAGTGTCAAATTTTAAAGTTTGACACCAGTATCCTACCCCATATATATATATATATATATATATATATATATATATATCTCATTTAATAGGAGAAGAGAAACTTTCCAGCTGACTCAAATTGTAGGTGGGAAGAGTCATTTTGTAGCAAAGGAGATGTATTTAATATGAGTTCGCTTTTTCTATTGTCAATGTAGATAACTTATCTATATTGAACCCAAAACGATGTCGTTTTGAGGCGAAAATCAAGGTATTTTTGTAATTATAATTTATTTTAGGGTTATAATAGTCTTTTTCATTATAATTTTTTAATTTTTTAACCCAAAACGACTTCGTTTTGGGATCGAATGTAGATAACTTATCTACATTCACTTTAGAAACATTATAGTCATTTAATATATATATATATATATATATATATATATATATATATATATGAAGGGGTAAACATTTCTACAGCCACTTTAGATAAGGTTATCTACAGCCACAATTTTTAACTATGTTCTCCCAGGAGAACATAGTTATAATATTAAAGTTGCTTTTTTTTTCTCTCCTCATTTACTTTTCAGAACTAGTTAGCTGACGTGGAGAAAGAGAAAAAATCCACTTTAATGTTATAACTATGTTCTCCCGGGAGAACATAGTTAAAAATGGTGGTTGTAGATAACCTTATCTAAAGTGGCTGTAGAAATACTTTTCCCATATATGAAAAATATATTTCTATAGCCACTTTAGATAAGGTTATCTACAGCTACCCCAAAAATTACATCGTTTTGATTAATGAAGAATGTTTATGTAATTTTAGGTGAATTAATGACGAGTGTTTCGGTAAAATGCATATGAAAAAAAATTAAACAAAATTATGGAAACACCCTTCATTAATCAAAACGACGTAGTTTTTGGGTAGCTGTAGATAATTTTATCTAAAGTGGGTGTAGAAAATACATTCACTTTAAATAAGATTATCTACAGCTACCCCAAAAATTACGTCGTTTTGATTAATAAAAAGGTGTTTCTGTAATTTTAGGTGAATTTAGGAAGGGTGTTTCAGTAAAATGAATATGATAAAAAAATAAACAAAAAATTACGGAAATACCCTTCATTAATTCACCTAAAATTACAGAAACACCCTTCATTGATCAAAACGATGTAATTTTTGGGTAGTTGTAGATAACCTTATCGTTTTTTTGGGGTTTACATTTCTGCAGCTGCTTGTAGATAACCTTATCATTTTTTGGGGATTTACATTTCTGTAGCTGCTGTACGTGCAGCAATCAAATACTTGCTATATATATATATATATATATATATATATATATATATATATATATATATATATATATATACTTGAAAGCATTAAATGCGATGAATCATAACCATACAAAGGATGAAATCATTAAATGTGGGAGATCATAACCATACAACTGTCGTTGCTGTACGTAAAACGACTGCAGAAATAATTTTACCAATATATATATATATATAGTAGATAGGATTATTTAAAATTAGTATCATACTAAAAAGTGTGACATCCATTTAAATTATTGATTTAGGTCAATTTAATAACTATAATTTGTTGAATTATATTAATTGCTTATTAATTTTTAGTAAATTATAATTATCAAATTATGTTGTTCCATATATATATATATATATATATATATATATATATATATATATATATACTTTTCATTATTATTTTCTATAATACTTACCAACTAAAAAATTATGAAATAACTGGCATATTAAACATGTATTTGGATTAGTTTATTTTTAAAAAAAATAATTGTTATAGTTTCTAAAAAAACTGTTGAAAAAATAAAATAAAAAATTTACATAATTTAAACTTTTCAAAATACAAATGAGAATTTCATATAACAAAATAGATTGGGGGGGGGGGGGGGGGGGGGGGGGGGGGGGGGATACAATTTTTAAAAAGTATTTCAATGGTCAACTGAAATTGTCCATCATCGTTGGCTGCTGACAAACTTATAAGGTTACTGCACCGAGAAATACTACTCTTATCTTAGATTTACGTGAGATAGTTATCTCATTTTTTTCACTTCAAAAATCACACCCTCTCTTTTTTCTTTTTTACTTTTTAATTATGGGCTCCACTTGAATTCTCTCTGTAACATGAAAGAATTACTCCCATGTAACTTGATTCCCCTACTATATTTTGTTAACTAAAAGATATAATGGTCGAACTCACTAACCATTATAAAATCGATATGATGATGAAAGTTGGCTTTATTGTCCAGAAGATTAAGGAGAAACGGAAACCCCGAAAACAGTGTAAAAATGATTGTCATCCATAATGATGTCATAGTAGTTTGTTGAGGACAGGACAATAGAATATTAGATATCAGTTATTTTAAACATTTTACGATGCATACGCTGTTGTAAGAATGAAAACAAAAATGCAAATTTGTCCAAACTCCTTAATACCATGATGGTTTTCACTTTTCAGCAGTATCGGTTTGCTCAAACCATTTGTTTTCAATTCCGTGAGGTTAAGAAATGAACACTGAAGACCGCCTCTAAAATCTGCATAACCCAACAATAGTAATAAGCTCACAGATTGCATATGATAAGAACAAACTACAATAAGAAAAATTCAGTATTATACAAAAAAGCTCAATTAAGCGATATAAAAATTGCCTACCTATCCGTCATCCTATCCTAGTTCTGTTATTTCCATCTTGAACACACAAAAAAAGCCAATGACATACTACTTTTCTCCTTTCTTCTTCTCCTCCTCCATCAAGATGCAAAAAACACTTAAAAGATCGGAATTCTCCGGTTTCAATAACAAAATGTCAATCACTATTGATGCATATATCAGCATACAACTGTAATTGATCACCTAAATATCCATGCTATATCTACTGATCTTGAGGAAAAGTTCCTGCCAAAGATTCCAGCCCAGTATGGTATTTCACAAAAGTAGCAGTCAATTTATCTGGTGAAGTGCCAGCAAGCCTCAACTGCTGGTTTGATGAGGTTGAGCCATTCTTCTTACCAATAGTCTCCACACGAACACGAACCATCCTTAAAATGATGAAACCGGTTTGCATCCCTTACAATTATCTCCCTTTCAACAAGCTTGGATATAAGCTTTATTGCAGAATGACAGTTTACACATGCTCGAAGATTCTTTGTTATTCTAAGTGTAGTTCCAGGAGCAGTACTAATAAGCCCGTAAGCAACCGCTATCCTTTCACTATGAATACAAAGATTCTCCTCCTTCTCTTCATAATTCAGATCATGCAAAACAGATTCTGTATGTGGAACAAACCCAACCTCCTTTAACCTTCTTTCTAATCTCTGAAGTTCATAGAAAATCTCCTCAGCCCTCGGATGTGACTTGTCCCCTACATGAAATACCTCTAGCTTCCCATTGATTTCAATTAAACTGTAACCAAGGTCCTTACTCAATCCTTTCTCCCTCATCAGAACCCGAACATGTGCAACACGATCCCATAAGCGGGAGGAAGCATAGAGATTAGAGAGTTGTACATAATGCCCTGTATTATAAGGATCTAATGAGAATAGCTTCTTTGCAGCATATTCTCCCAATGTTACACGACGATGGATCTTGCTTGCACTCAGAAGTGCCCCCCATACACTTACACCTGGTTCTATGGGCATTTTCATGATAAAAGCACAAGCTTGGTCCAGAAAACCGGCACGTCCCAAGAGATCAACCACACAAGAATAATGCTCATTGCGCGGCACAATTCCAAAGTCTCTCATGCAATGGAATAGCTCCCATCCCTCTTTTACAAGGCCAGAGTGATTGCATGCAGTGAGAAGCCCAATAAAGGTGACATCATTTGGGTACACCCCTGCTCGCTTCATTGCATGGTAGAGATTAATGGCTTCCCAACCTTGACCATGCAATCCATATCCCATAACCATGGCACTCCATATAACAACATCCTTATCAGAAGTACGATCAAATACCATGCGAGCAGATTCTACACTTCCACATTTTGCATACATATCGATGAGGGCTGTATTAACAAAAATGTCACTTCCATATTTACTCTTGCTGACATAGTCATCCATCCATTTTGCCAATTCGAGGGAACCAACTTGTGCACAGGCTAAGACTGCAGATCTCACAGTGACAGAATCTGGTTTAATATTTCTTGAGATCATGTCGCGAAATAGATGTACTGCTTCCTCAGCATGTCCGTTCTTTGCATAGCCAGATATCATTGCATTCCACATAATAACGTTTGCTGTCTTCATTTGATCAAAGAAAGATCTTGCAACTGTCACCTGCCCACATTTTGCATAAAATGCTGTAAGTGAGATAAGCAAATCAGGCTCATCTTCAAGACCCATTTTGATGACACAACCATGAAGAGATCTTCCTTGCTCCAAGTCATCTACATCAGTATAAGCCCTTAGGATGCTTACCAGTGCAATCCAATCTGGTTTCACATCAGTATTTCTCATTTGATTGAACATTCTCAGTGCTTCCATAGCTTCCCCATTCTGTGCATATCCAGAAATGATGGAAGTCCATGAAACAATCGTTCTATCATATAACGCATCAAACACCCCTCTTGCCATACCAATATGACCACATTTAGCATACAATGCCACAAGGCCATTCTGCACAAACACATCCAACCCAAACCCATATCTCATTATCTGTCCATGAAGTACGCAACTCAAACCAAAATCTAACAGTCCAGTACAAGCTTTAAGTACATAAGGAAAAGTGAATTCATCCGGATGCACTCCGGTCCATCTCATCCATCTATACATTTCAATAGTGTCCCTAAACATATTTTTCCTCGAATAACTCCTAATAATTGCATTCCACATAAACACATCCGGGTTGCAAAATTCATCAAACAGCTTGCGAGCATAACAAATTTGTCCCAAATTTGAACTGCCATTAACCAGTTTTGTTATAAGAAACCCGTTATGTTGCAATCCGGAGACAAGTAACTGATTATGTATTTGATTAAGGTGTCTCTTGTGGGTAGAATTATCAATAAGAGACGCATAGAAAGAATCTGAATTGAAGCAATGGTCAAGGTTAACAGAATGTTCAAGACGAAGAGCTGATGAAGAACAAAAATGTTTGATAAACTTGGGGATCAAGTATGTGCGAATTTCAGAAGTTGTAACCTTGTGATTTTTTGTAGTAAGTAAAGATAAGCTAAGGAGTTTCCAAGCCATGGGGCTGTGTCCATTATCTTTCAATATTTATTAGCAAATTCCAACCTCATATCAACTAAAGCACTTCAAAAAGATAAACCGTGAAGTATAACCTATTCAGTTTCTGGTGTCCAGCTGTTTGAATCTCCATTCAATTCTGATTGCTTTTTCCCAGCCTACATTAGAGCACGTTGCAGGAATTAGTACCAGGATAATGCATTATCCACAGTATGTTTGGTAATTTGCATTCCCCCTGAAATGTAACAGAAATTAATAAAGCCAAAAAATTGTTTCTATAGACAACATCATAACACATTTTAAATTGATATCATTCCATAAAATGCAACAGGCCCACCTTTATATCAGCACTGGATGCTAATAAGTCCAATACATATCAAGGGAAGTAAACTAAATCACGGTAAAAATATATTACAGATTTCATTGGCAGTGAAGAAAATGTGTTTTTTCATATACAAATAAAGTTAATATTTCATAATCATACACACGTGCTCAAGATTGAAACATAAATTTCAATGAATAGAACATTGGCAAATTTACATTTTCTTAAGTTTCGAAGGGATGATGAACGAAAGATACAGATAGAATGAAAATGGGGAGCAAATAACAATTAGTTGTAAATTAGCCCATAAAATCTAAAACATTGGACACAATTCATATACAAATAAAACAGAAGAATTGTTATAGGGACACATTCTATGAGTTCCAATATCCATTATCTGCAGATATAATAAAAACTCCTCCGTATAAAATGCATTGTTAAATAAATACACATAGAGTGCTCACATAAGAGCACCACGACCCAAACATTTCTTATTAGCAAATAGCAATAATACACAGCATTGCTATGGTAATGGGTATTCATAATTAATAGGCTTTGCTAGAACAAGAAACCCTGCATTTTAACACCGTAATATCATTATGTTTCTAATGGTAAAAAATGCAAGAGAGGAGGGAATCTTGTTGAAGCATTTAGTCGAACACGTAGGCTACGTTTACACTAATGAGTGTAATTGATAATAAAAGAGAGCAAGTAAAAAACACAAAACAACTTAATAGTACTAACTACTAACCAAATCAGCGATGGTTAATGTGTGCAACATTGGAGAAAACGACGACGTCGTCCTATGATGGGAATGGAGTTAGATTGAGGAGTCTTCTCAGAATGAAAATTTATATTAGCACATGCTATTTCTTATGACATCATTATAATTTAAATTTTTCTTTATAATCTTTTATAAGTATTTTTTTAATCATTGGATTAAAATTAAACCAACAGTTATAAAATAATATTAATTATTATTAAATCAATATTAACAATTAAACTTTCACTTATTTTCTTCTATTTTTTTTATTGGATTCCTTTTTATTAATTTTATAGTGCACATTAAAACATTTATTTCCCTTGTGCAATAGAAACTAATTTTATTCAAAGAATATTTCTTATTCTAACTTCCACACCCTATGTGTAACTTTTTCTTTTTTTCTTTTTTTCTTTTTTTCTTTTCACTTGTATTCACTCAGGTGTTATTATTACTTGTTATTTCTAAATACATAAGTTATTATTTATTTTATTTTTGGTAACAAAATACAACAGATTTTTTAGTTGTATTTTATGAGTATATCTATTCTTTAGGTATGAGATTAAGGGCTCGTTTGATGGACAAAATAGGATAGGAGGGCTGGATAAGAGTATGATAAGATATGAACCTGATAAGTTTATATCCTATCAAGTATTTGAAGTGCACTAGATAAGCAATATGCAAGAATCTAATATTCTAAAGGAAACTCATTCTTTGGCAAATTTGCTGACGTGTCGCTTTCTCCTTCACTTTCAGCTTTGTGTTCACACTATAAAATATTTAAAACCTTTCCTTCTTTGGTAAATCAGTAAATAAAAAAATATAAAAGAAAATCGAATTTTCAATTTAAATCAATGGGCAAGATTTCTTAATTTAAATCAATGGTCAATATTTGTTATAAATGTTGGTGGCAGACAGTTCATTTAATGTACCTCTACTTTCTACAAATTATTAATATCTAAATGCTTTCTGAATTTCCAAATTTGAATTTTAACATGAAATTTTAAATTTGATTTTTGAATTCTGAATGGTAGCAGACAACTCATTTAATGTTGAACTAGCATTGGATTTGTTAAAGAATTTAAAAATACATCTGCTTCTGTGTATAAAATATGAACGCTTGGGGACGATTTTTCCTTTGTTGCTTCTATTGATTTTTTCTTTTTTTGCTGCTGCCAAATATCAGCTGTTTGCGCATTGCTTCCTCAACGAAATCGCTTCGTGCTTCTCTCTTTTTTCGTCTTACCAAAAATATGTTTTCAAAATATGATTTTTTGAAGGATGTCAATCCTGCCAAGGAGGACTGGAGGATTAAGGTGAAGGTGGTTCGGGCTTGGAAAGTTCCTAACTTTCAACGTAAAGATTTTGACGACAATGTTGAAATGGTTTTATTGGATGAATAGGTAGTTGTCTGCGTTTTTTAAAATCTTCCATCTTTGTTCTGATCATTTTAATTAACGTTATTGATGTAAGTTGGCTGCTTTTTTTTGTAGGGTGGTAGGATCCACGCCACTGTCAAAGGTTCTATGCAGGTGCGGAAGAAAATCCATGAAGGAGAGTGCTATTTTATAAAAAAAATTTGGAGTTGGATTCAATAGCAATATGTTCAGGCCAACCAAGCATCCACATCGTTTCTCGTTCAACTTGAGGACTGATGTTAAATCAATTGTTGATTCTAATCTTTCTGCGAGTGAATTTGATTTTGTTGATTATGACATCATTGAAAAAGAATCATCTGACTCTCCTTATTTAGTGGGTAATATATTTTTCCTTACTGATGTTCATTTTTCAATTATTGCATTCTTTTTGACGAACTCTTTGCTGCCCTTTTTGTTTTGTAGGCGTCTTTGGTTTGATCTCAGGAATTAAGGAAGTATGTGATCGTGTGATTTCTGGTAGGAAAACGAAAATGGTTGTGTTGGAGTTGGACAACCTGAGGTATTTTAAATGTTATAGTTAAAGAAAATAATTTTGTTGTCGCTCTGTTACCTTACGAGTTTCGTGTATGACGCTGTTCCGCTGCAACTCATATGTAGGGGTCACAAGCTCGAGTGCACTTTGTGGGAGCATTATGTGGATGAGGTGCTATCTTTTTTGGCAAACAGTGACACTCCTCATAACGTCATAATAGTTCAACTGGGAAGGATCAAATGTTTTAGGGGTATGTTTTTCCCAAACGAAACGTTATTTTAATTTAAAAAAAAAAAACGAACCTGAATGTCTGATTTTTTTGTATCGTAGTTTCTTTTATAAATAAAAACTCCTATTTGAATTGTTGTACAACAACAGACAAGTTTTATTATTATTTTAGTACTCCCCTGCGAATTGTAATCCCTTCTCTCATTCAACCGCTAACTTTAAATTACTATCCTCAAGAAACTTAGCATTATTATGTTGGCATCTAATTTACATTATCTATATTGTGTAGAAAATCTATCTCCGTTGACTCCCTCATCCGTTGGCAGGTAAATGACGTGTGTTGTTTGATCGTTTAAATTTCACGTACATTACGTTTTTATAACTGCTTCATATGTTGTATAATCTTTTTAATTTTTTAAACCAATCAGTACTTACGAAAACACAAACCAGACTCTCTCGAATATTTCCTCCTCAATTGCTAAAGATTGTCTTCATTCTCATCCCACAAAGGTAATGTTTTCTATAAAATACGCATTTCCTAGAAATATATAAGGTAATATTTCTTGTGAAATGAGATTTAAAAATTATAGTGGTTGCCATTTTTATTTTTATTTTATTTCTTAGATAGCAAAAATGCTAGATTAAGGTGGAAAGATATAATGGTTCAAAAGAAGACTTCTAAGCAATTTGTAAAGATAAACGATATACCAAAGATGCTTGACTTAACAGGTAATTCGTCTTCGAGTGATTTAACTACAACCATGTATTATAAGAGGATAATATATGTAATGTGTTAACTATTTTTTGACGTGCCATTCATTCGACTGTATAATTTATTCCGCATTGGAATTTTTCATATAGGAATTGATGTGAATGATGAGAATTCAGTGCGTTCAACTGTTACTACGTTGTGTGATGAGAACTGTATATCACTGTATGATTATACAAAAAATTATATTTTTTGGGAACACTATGTTGTAATTCAATATTATTACATGCACCTCCTTCATCAACGTCGTATAAATGCATTAATGTGGTCTCCATTTTTTGTATATGTGACAATATAGTTCCCCAGATGATTACGGTACAAGTAGGACTTCAGCTGAAGTTGATCAACGAAGTGAGTTAAAACACCTGTCACTGTTTGTATAGTATTTTTAAAATACACGCACAAATGCATTTATACGATTTGAAACAATTAAAATATAAACGTGCATGACACCACATTTTTTATTTGTTTAAACTATTTCCCATTTGTGTGTCATGAATGAATTATTTTGACCCACATTTTTCTATTTTTTATTACAGATTAAAATTCTGAATGATAAATGTTAGAATCAACGCAATTGTTTTTTTTTACAGATCATCTTCGAGAACAGTTGTTTCCTACTGATAGTCAACATGGTGCGCATTTTCTTAATTTAATATATGAAACTGTCTTATTTTAGGCATCTTTCTTATTACCTTCATGTCAAGCACAACATTTAAATATTTTTTGTTCACATGTTGCGTTATTATATTTATTATGCTTGACTCTATTTCAGATATGTCATACAAAAACGTTGTTACATGTTCTGATCATCTCTGGAAAATACTGAAAGAAGCTGAGTCGAACTTTGTAAATTTTGAATGACCACATGACAAGGTAAAATGCAGCAATATACTTGCATGTGTTGCGTTAGTTTTTACGAGACAAACAAACTGAATTTTTTTTCCTCCGTGCAACGCACGGGTAAGACACTAGTAATGTTATATTGTTATCCTATCCGGTGTTTGATAGAA